ACGTCACTTCCGGGGACGGGGCGGGGGCGAGGGGGCTGTTTTCGGGCAGGGCCTGCGTGCCCCGCCGGGGCGGTTCGCGCTTGGCCGCGCTTCGGCTCCTGCCTCCGGGCCGGGCCGGGCGCTTGTGAGCCCCGCGAGCCTGGTGCTGGGGTGACCGGTAGCACGGGAAGGGGAACGGCGAGGGTGCAGAACGGCCACGAGCGGCGAGTAGCTGCTGGTGACAGGCGGCCGGAGCCTGCCTTGGCTGGGGGCCTGGCACGAGCTGCTGGCTGCAGCTGGCCGGAGTTAAACGAGCTCAGCAAGTTTGCAGAAGGGGGGCGGTGGCAGACGGTTCGCCCCGCTTGCCGTTGTCTTCTCCAGCACCATTTTTGAAGTCAGTTGGTACCTCTCATCTCTTAACATCTGATTTTGCAGCACGAAGTAAGGAATACGGATTACATCTTGGTGGTGGAAACTTAACGAATTGCTGCGCTGTATGCTGCTCATTCAGTGTGTTCACAATATTAAGGGCTTTTTTTTCTGAACCGACCTGCAAAACCTCTTTAAAAATATCTTCAGAGATCAAAGTGCCTTGCTCGTTGACTGACCATCCTGAAAGAACAATCTAAATGTCCTGAACAGCTCTACAAGCACTGCATGTCTGTAAACGGTGCCTCCGAGGGAAACCCGGATGAGCTTTCACCTCAGGGCCGCTGCAGTGGAGAATGTGCAGTAGATTCCTTTTAACTTTTCCTCCCCGACAGCTATTAGTGATTAGCCAGGTGTGCTGACTTCAAAGGGGACAAATACCTACCTGCTGGGCTGAGAAAGAGACCCCATTTGGGAGTTGGTTTCCCTCATGTGCTGTCTGATGGGCTTGGTTGATTTAAAATAAAATAGAGGAATAGAGCAGACAGTGACCTGTAGGTGTTCAAACTAACACCTCTGTACTGGCCAGCATTCTTCTTGGGAAACACTGAGTGATATTTCACGATTTATCACTTTCATATGTTTCTTTTATATCTCAATTTAAGTTCAGGTTCTGCTAGTCTCTATGAAGAGCCAGTGTCCTCTCGTTCGGTACTGTGATGGTGATAGCTGTCATTGCTTGGAGAAATAGTTACTTGCACTCTGCATCCAACAAAGGCAGTAACAGCTTTGAAAAGTTACTGGGAATGTTTGCTCTGTGGAGCCATTGAGCAACATTTGAACAGAACGTACAGAGGCACAGTGGCAGAAGCTGGTAAAAATACCCTGTCTTAGCCTCGGTGGTTAAAATACTGTTTTCTCTATCCCAGAGGATTTTAATATGTTCTAATATCTCCTCTGTGCTGTTGGTAACTCCAGGTTTGGACCGCGTATTTGATGAAAAGCTGTGCACTTAAATAGGTCTGACCTTATCTGCATAAGAAGTGTTGGATGCAACAGTTCTGACCTCTAATGGTCAGAAAGAGCAGTATTCTCTGAGGCACTTTCTGCAAGGATTGTGATGTGCTAGAGTTTGTCATGACTGTGAGAATGACACTGAAAAGGTGTAAAGAACCTGGTCCACCTTTATTTTCTACACTAGTGAGCTTGTCTCTCCACCCCAAATCACAGGGAAGATTCTTTTTAATGGTGCTTCCAAGTAACATGGAGAAAAAGAGCGTAATTTAATTTAAAAAAAATTCTTGTATTTTAAGTCTTTAGAGGGTCTAAATCACATTTGAATTCCTTTCAAAGCTTGTTGAAGGGCGAGTTTGAGAAGGAAGGGGCAGAGAGATTGTAGAAGCTATAGTGAAGTTTAACTACATTCCATGCTGGTGCAGGAACTGTGTTTGTAATCACTCTGTCATTTGTTTTAACTACACAGAAACACCAAATGTTAAGTTTGCTATCTGGAGATGAGGAGAGGGAGTAATTTTTGAGGTAAGAAGTCATCTTTTGGGGTAGGACTGAGGATGCTGTCTTTCTTATTGCAGGCAAAACGAGCAGTACAGCGAGGAGCCACAGCGGTCATCTTTGATGTTTCTGAAAACCCAGATGCCATTGATCAGGTACGAAGAAGGGAGCCTAGTTTTATTACAGCCTCTGTGGGGTTCTTTTAGGGTTGCTGAGGCAAGACTTGAGAGCATACAGGTCTCGGAGCACACCCACCTTAAGATATGCGGCTACTGACCCTGGGTAACATGGTGCTGTGGTTTTTCTGCTCATCTTCTGGCAGGCAAGAAACAATGGAGGTGTTGAGAATGTGGTAGAAAGAGAAGTTTGGGGAGTTATATTTTTCTTCTAGCCTTTGCTAGAATCCAGAATCCAGATCTGGGATTGAGGTTTTGAGAAAGGATGGAGGCAAATTTTTTGTGGCCCATTATCTAGTCAAGGAGGTTTTCTTCGCCCAGCTCTGAGTACAAAACACAGAGTGTTTGGCCCTACCCAGCTTGTGATTGATAGCATTGTTGAGCAGCTGCTATTTTTGAGGTTGCAAAATGGCTTTCAAACCTGGTTCTAAACAAGCTTCTTACAAAACTTATAAACATTTCTTTCTTGTTCGCAGCTGATGATTTCTGGCCTATATATTTTGTGGACAAGCAGGGGTTTTCTTTTTTTGGGGGTCTTGGTACAACTTCTATCTTTTCATTTGAAGTGGGTGAGGTAATAGCTCTGTGAAATGCTTTGACAAGATCCTTCCAGCCAATTCCAAGTTATTTGAGTAGAGAGAAGAAACATGACAAGCACAAAAATAGTCTGTATTTGGTTTAGTTTTGTTTTGTCTTGAAACAAAACTGATGTTTCTGCTACAGCAGAAACAAGTGAAGCTGAATGTTTTTACGTGCAGCCTGAATTTCTTGGGGAAAAGAGAGACCGTCAATGTTTACATTTAAAAAGCTGGCTTTAATTCTGAAATGAGCATCTGTTGGACAAAGGAATGCAGACCCTGTGCAATGGATGCTTTGAGAACTGTGCTCTGCATTGCATTAAGGCTATAGCCTTGATCTTGCAAACATTCTCAGGGATATTTTTTCCCCTTTTTATGCACAGAAAAATTATCTGCACAAAGATGTAATCTGTCTTTTTCCAATTTTTTCTCTGTATTACAGCTTCCAGTTACTTTCAGCCACCCTGCTCTGAACTTGCGAAGCTGAGTTACTGCCTCTTGCTCTCTTCCCTCTACCAGCAACAGCTGTCCTTCCTTGATTCTTGATAATAAACTGGGTGCAACTGTCCCCAGTAGCTGGGAAACTAGTCTAGTGGATGATTGAATATTTTGGGAGTACCAATAGAATGGAAGGAGGTTAGCGGCTTAGTGCAGTAGCTGACAAAGTAGGCTCTGTTAAAGGACAGAGCAGCAGCCTGTGCAAGCACTCACAAACAGGAGAGGAATGACTAGACCTAGCTTTCATACTCTAAGCATAAGAGTTACTCGATTGGCTCCCTTCTCATGCTGCTCTGGACACTTGTGTTTCATGCATTTTGATTCTCAGCCAAAATCTTCAGAACCCTTGACATCAGGGGATACTAATTAATTTGTCTTTAAAATAAATACCATTTTGGCACTCACAATGGAATTGTGGAAAACAATGACAGATGGATAACAACGGAGGAAAAACTGACATGGGTTAATATGGAGTCTCTTTGATTCAAATGGAAGTATCCTAACACTGAGGGGAGCTGTTGAGGAAGCTTTCTCAGGTATGCTTGTTACCAAGCAATAGAACAACTAAGGGAGAGTGCTTCAAAAGGGAGGAGTGGAGTATTATGAAAGGCAATCCTTCCTGCCAGTTAATGAACAGAAATAGGAAGCAGGCCTGACCAGGAGAAGAATCGTCCTCAGACAATTCGGTAGCAGAATTGCTACCAAATGAAAGGGCTTTACGTAGAGATTTTGTGGGGTTTATTCCCATTGATCTGTCTTTTGCTGTAGACTAAGAATGAAACTTTTATTTTTAGAAATGCTCTGTGAAGTCTGATTTGTTTCTTAGTTTTGCATAGTTTGAAGAGGAGTAACAGCACCCAGAGCATCATGTTTAGCAAAAGTCTGGCAGCGTGTAAAAGCTACTGAGGAATCAGGTGAATTCTTTCTTAGACAAGAAAGCTTAAGAGAGAATATGTATCTGGGAACATAGGGACAGTGATTGAATTTGGCCTTAGGCCAGCAAGCCTTGTAGATACATAGAATCCCTGGGCTGGATTCCAGTACTTCAGCTAGTTTTTAGCTCTTCAGAAGACATTTGTCTTAAAAATAGTTTGATCAGTGTTCTCAGAAGCCCAGTCAAATACTAGGAAGAATCTGTTCTAAAGTCTGAATGAAATCTGTCACCATCATCTGGACAGATTAAGTAGAGTACTTTGTAAGCAGGATGATAGACCAGTCAGTTGGTAATTTCTACATGTTTTAGCTAGAAACAACAGGTAGATATCAACAACGTAGATATGGTCTCTCTTCTATACGCTACTCTTGTTCAATTTGCTCACACTCCTGTCATCTCATTCCTTTCCCCTGTACCATTTCCATCTGCTTGTCAGTGCGTTGCTTATTTTGTATCAACCAGCCTCTATACTAGGATTTTTCTTGTGGGTCAGGATAAGCTATATGAATTTATCATGTTGGTGCCATTTTGTAACAGAACAATTCTCTTGTCTTGTTATTCCCCTCTGTGGTATATAGTTTAGCAGATTGTTTTTCTGGATTTGTTGGCCAGAGAAGTGATGCAGTCTCCACACTTGAAGGTTTTCAACATCTGACTGGATAAAGCCCTGAGCAGCCTGGTCTGATGTCATAGTTGACCCTGCCTTGACCAGGAGGTTGGACTTGTGGGGTGCCTTCCCATCCACATTATTTTCTGAATCTATGATTTGGCCTTTCAAAAAACTTAGCTGGACCTGGAAGGAAGTTTAAGGGTAAATTAAGCTATCTACCCATATGCTTTAGTCTTCGAGGCCCCCATCCTGCAGTCAATAGCTCTAGTGGTTGCTAGAACCCAAATAACTGTTTGAATGAGTTTGCCGAGTTAAACAGCAGAAATTACAGACTTTAATAAATTGGCTAGGTACAAAGAGCCTGAAAGACAGGACTCTGACACGAGATTGTTCAGAAAGCGAAAGAAATTTGTATGTGAATAATATAACTACAAAGTTGAAATAACAAAAGGTTCAGAAAATGTAGCAAGGCCAGGTTTTTTTTGAATGTTCAGATTTTTATTCTTCTTCATTATGAGGTTTAACTTATTGAATGTTAACTGACACTTATTAATATAGGCACTGGCACATAATGCAGTTAAGTTAAAGCTGCTGTTCAGAAATAATGTTTGCTTATCCTTAATCTTAGTTTTGGTCAGTAAAAAAAAAGGCAGCTTAAGTCAAAAGTTTAACTGAGGTTTAACTCTGTGAATACTTAAGTGAAGGTCTATGCTAGAAGAGAACAATTGGTGCTTTAATCAATTCCACATTCATATTCCTTTACTTTTCTCTCCATTGTCCAAAAGAGAGGTAGTTTTCCTGAAATGTGCCTTTTGAGCAGGTTATTTTTTTGTTCTAGCTGAACCAGGGCTCAGAGGACCCCCTGAAGAGACCAGTGGTGTATGTGAAGGGTGCTGATGCTGTCAAGCTAATGAACATAGTTAACAAGCAGAAAGTGGCACGAGCAAGGATTCAGCATCGCCCCCCACGGGTGAGACTTTAAGAAACTTTATCTAGGTATTACACTGCTGTTACTTCATGCAGTGCTTGCTAACTGCACTGAGTGTGAAGATGTTTTGATGCTCCCCATGAGTGTTAATACATGTGAAATTCTGTTCACCTAAATAAATTGAGCAACTGCACTGTGGACAAGCAGCTACACTTGATGTAAGTATAGAATCCACAATGTGGCATCTGCTGTCTTTCATAAGGATTCTTTTGAATATATAAATGGCTAAAAATTTTATGTAATAGAAGTTTTCCTTTTACTTAATTAAATAACTTATTTATTGCACACTCCTGGTAGTTCAGATTTGTAAGGTAGTCTGCCCAGTGTTAACTACTAATTCTGTGTGATATTTTAAACATGAGTTAATTATTTGATATCTGATATTTGTAATTGTAATATGAAATAGTTTTCTAGAGGTTTTTTTGAACACTCTCTGCATGTAGTTTACAGAAGAAGAACAAAGCTAGAGGTTGTCCATGTCCCAGTTACCACTTTGGCTTTGTTGTGTTTTTGTGGAATTCTTCTGTTAAGAAATGTATTTGAGAAGTGGGCCATTCACTGAAAATTCAAATACTGATTTTCACTCTCTTAAGTATACAAGCAAACCAATAAATCATGAAAATTTGTATTAGTGTGATTCACCCAGTTAAAAAACCTGGGGTTTGTGCGATCGGTTGAAGGACGCTGTAAATCTGACATCTCGTGACTGGCATTCTATGTATTTAATTCACTTGCAGTGACATATGAAACCCAGGTTTTGTCTCATAGAATCCTCGTTAATGAACAGAACAGTGTGTACTTTGACTTTTGCCATTGTGACTGTGTACATTTGACAATGACCACTGAGAAAATAGAGAAGAGAAAGGAACAACAGATTTGAGTATGATCTAAAGAAAGGAAAAATAATATTTTTGTTTTAATTTTTAAGCAACCCACCGAGTACTTTGATATGGGAATTTTCCTGGCCTTCTTTGTGGTTGTGTCTCTTGTTTGCCTCATTCTTCTTGTCAAGATCAAACTGAAACAGCGACGTAGTCAGGTAAGAGCAGTAATGGGATATTCACTGGATGCTGAAAGTTAGCTTCTCTTACTTTGTCTTAGAACTTGCTCACTACTTTTGGAAATGCCGGACACTGACTTAGAATAGCCATCTTTGTGGAAAGGGTTTTATCCATGGAGGTAGAGCTTTGGAAAAATTTGGACGTGTCTTTAAAGGAGATCTACATTGACCTGTGATGTTCATTCAGTTAAATCCTGAAATGAAAAGAGTATGGAAGCAGTCCATTTAGCCATTGGGAAGGAAGAACATTTATGGTTGTTCAGAGGTTGATTATCAGTAGCACTAAAGAAGTCCAAGCTCTTGTTGCTGTATTGTGGAGAGAATTTCAGGATTGAAAATAAATTGCAACTCTTTTCAATAGAATAACATCTACTGATTCTTAATGGGAGAGGTTTGCAACGTAAAAAGTTTGGTTAGGAGAAATTCTAGGTGAGATACTTCGAGTTTGTCCTGTCAAACATGAAAAGGAAAGCAAATGGAAGCTAATGGACTCTGAAGTTTGTAGTTGTAAACTGTCCAGTATATACATGTAAAAGGAATGCAAAGAACTGTAGGTGCTTAGGGCTCCTGCTTTGGACGTATTGAGTAGGAATCCAAAGTTGTTACGGGCCAACAGCAGTGTTAAAAAACAGTGTTAAAAAGGGGGATGATAGACTCTACAGTAATACGAAAACAACCCACTGCCTTCCTAAACTTCTACTGTTGGTTAAATTCGGGGGGAGGGAGAAATGATACAGCTAATTCAGTAACGTTTCATTCTAATCCCTCTCTCAAGTATTGCTTCTGGTAATATGGCGGTAACAGCATAATGGGGCATTACAGTCAATATTGACAGTTCAAAAAAAGTTCCTGACCAAGTCTTACATGTTGCCTTGAATAGTTGCAGCCTATTAATTGAGCAGTTGCAGTGTATCCCAATTGTCAGCACCTTCACCCTGTTTCAATTCAAAGTAGCTTCTCATTTTCGCTACTGCATGTGGCATACATTCTTTTCATGAGGCTTCTGATCTAAATTCTAATTAGCCTTCTCTCTGCTTAATTTATGAAATTGTACATTAGCCTGGGCCTGACGTGATTTGATAAGATACATTAATTTGATATGGTGGCGTTTCTCTGCTACTACACTATAGTCTCTTATGCAGCAGCGTTGCCTTTTTTTTTTTCTTTTTTCTTTTTTTTTTTTTCTTTCTTCTGTTGTAGAATTCCATGAACAGGCTTGCAGTGCAAGCACTGGAAAAAATGGAGACCAGGAAGTTTAAGTCCAAAAGTAAGGGACACCGGGAAGGTAGCTGTGGAGCACTGGACACACTCAGTAGCAGCTCCACCTCTGACTGTGCCATCTGCTTGGAGAAGTACATTGATGGGGAGGTAAAGGACAAATGGTTTCTTCAGCATGGGCTGAGAATGTAGCTGTTTTATTTTAGCACTGTGGTACGCGGCTGGCTGTTGGGTACGTTATGTACTGAGGTTGTGCCGCTTGCCAGACTGATTGCATTGAGTAGCCAACTCAGCCTCAACTGCATTCTGCGGCTCCCAAAGAAATCTCAAGGGCTTTTCCCCATACGACAAAGTGAGAGGTGAGGGATCTCATTCTGCAAGTTGCTACCTCCACCAAGTTGCTTTTCTGAGGAAGAACTCTTAAAGAAGTCAGGGTTACCTCAGCATTTAGTTCTCTGGGTATTTTTAACAAATTGTGTGCTAAGGTGATGATGCATGCAAGCTCTGTTGGAGGGATACATTTTGTGTTTTGCTTCTCAACCTTTGATGGCACCTTGTCTTTAAAATGTCAGGTACACAGCACTGGTGGGAAACCAGAGGAGGAGAAGGAGGAGATGCCAAAAGCTTCAGGAGCCGTTTTTTGACTCCTCAGTTACCATCGCTACATTGATGGCAGTGCTTGCCTTCTGTGACACAGTTCTACCCAGGGGAAACAATGAAAGGATGAAATAGAAAATAGGCTCCTTAGAATACAGGCAGTCAATAATCACAGCTTTAAACTTTCATATAAAAAATTGAGGACATTTTATTTTGAAATTATTCATAAAAGGTTCATCATTTTTAAGGCAATAGAAAATACCAGCTGCAGTATTTGAGTGCTACAAGCTACAAATAGAAAGTTAATGAAGTTAGCTGATGGGAAATTATTCAGAGTAGCAAGGATGAAGGCAGACAAGAACTTCAGAAGGGCTGTACAAAACTGACTGGACAGGAAATTCATGCATGAACTTCAGCATGAAGTGATATACATAGGGACGAGCTTCACATGTATTAGTGATGGGTTGTGAGGTGAGCATTACTGTTCCAGGAGCAAGATCTTGAAGCTGGTTTAGATAGCTTTGTGAAAGCAGATCGGTGCTTTGTGGCAGTCAAAAAGGCAAATCAGATACTAGAAACGAGAAGGGGGAGTCTAGAGAACTGAACAGAAAACATAATTACACCACTGTGTAAGTTCAGTCATGCTCTCACATTGATCAGTGTGCACTTCTGATCTTATTTCACAAAAGATATGTTGGAAATGAAGGTGCTTCAGAAAAGGGCGGTCACAAAGTGATCAAAGACTTGGAATGGTTTCTGTACAAAAAAATGACTGAGTGGGCTAGGACTGTTTAGTCCTAGATTACTTGGGGGCGGAGGGAGTACAAAATCATGAATGGAGAGCATGAACAGGAATCAGACGTTCATTTTTTTCCAATACAAGATTGGGTATTAAATGAAACTGCTGGGACCCAATCTGAATCAAAATGTGCTGTTTCTCCACCAGCAGGTAGTAGCCCTGTGGAACTTGCCAAAGCATGCTAGAAATTCAGAACCTGAGCTCGTGGGGAGACTTCAGCAGTACTTGAAGAAAGATCTGTCGCGGGTTTCTGAACTGGTAGATCCAGCAGGCTCAGGAAATCCTGTAAACAGATAATAGCTGAAGGATGAGAGTGCTGGGCAAGGGAAAAAGTATCATATACGCTGTGTTGGTTTTGCTTTTCCCTGAGTGTTTTCCATTGCTAGTAGTTGTAGGCAAGATGCATCATTAAATGGAGTCTATTGATTTATTTTTTTTAAAGTTCATTTACTATATTAAGGAAAACGTCAATGATGGGCTCCTTCAGGGTGTTAGGTCATGGGGACACACTGCAAAAAGTGTCCTAAAGAAATGTAGTATATCTGCATGGAGTTCTAACATGCCTGCAGACTATTCTTTTAGTGACAGCTGATCACTAGCTGTTGTGCTTTTGGCTGTGTTGGAACAGATGGCATTTTTTTCCTTCTTACCACTTCGAGACTAGGTATTGATCCATTTAGTAGCTAGGTTGAAAAAACTAGGAATAAGCTGTGAAAAATTCACTCATTAGGAAGGAGCACTTTTTCATGTTCCTTCATCTGTTCCTGTAGGAACTGCGTGTCATTCCCTGCACTCACCGATTTCACAAGAAATGTGTGGATCCTTGGCTACTGCAGCATCATACCTGCCCTCACTGCCGCCATAACATCATAGGTAAGTGCTGCAGTATGGATGCTCTGTTGTGTCATCTATTTCGGACTTTAGAGCTTACAAGATGAAACAGAAATTGTGCCTGTTTGTAAATCTCCATAGAGCCCATAGTCTTTATTGTAACGCAGCCCTAGAAATACAGTTAGGACTAAGTTCTTTGAAAATGACTGCGTGCCCTGGAATAACAGGTCACATTTCTGGTTTTCCCTCGTTCCGGGTGCGATGCCCAGCAGAGGGCAGCGTTGGTCAGCTTCTGAATGCAAGGAGGACAAAGAGATGTGATAGATGGGTGTGCTTTCTCTTGGTAATTATAAAGAAAAGACAATGTGTTGTTTTTTATTTTTCCGTGGTTGTGTAACTTGGAATGTGGTTTCCCTTACTTGCCCTCTCCCCCTTCCATTTCCTCTGTCTTGAAAAAGTTTGCTATTAATATGCATTTTTGTAAAATAATGTGTAAAGCGAAGACTCGAGCAATGACTGCCAGCCTTGCTCTTAACCTGCAAGACCAGGAATGCTGTGTAAGCAGAAGGTTTTGCATATATGAGAACAGTATCTGAAATCACTTCACTTCTTCTCCTTTTTAAGCAAATATAATTGAGTGTTTCAAAGGCTTCCAGGCAGGTGCTCTTGACTTATTTTGTTTGTTTTGTTATTTTTCCTTCTGTGTAAAAAGTTGATGCTGCTTTTTTTAAAAACTCTGTTTTGTGTGTAATGTAACTAAATTCAGAACAAAATATCCTTCTTTCTTGCATAAAGTATATTCTTTTTTATTCCCTCCTACTTCTCCACTCTTATTTCTCTCATTCAGAACAGAAGAAGGGAAATGCAGGTCCAGTCTGTCTGGAATCCATCAACCCAGCACGCAGCCGGCAGCAGAGGGTGATTCTGCCTGTCCATTACCCAGGCCGAGTGCACAGAGCAAACCAGATAACAGCGTATCCCACTCGGACAAGCATGGACCCTCACGGAAACCCTATCACAGTACTTACAGTTGAGCGACATGGTGAACAGAGCCTCTACCAAGCCCAGTCCCCAGCCTATATCCGAAGCTATCAGCCTATTCATTTGGACCATGCTTTAAACACGCATCACTGCAGCCTGGAACACAGGGCTTACTCTCCAGCTCACAACTTCCGAAGACCCAAGTTTGGTGGACGCAACTTTTCCAAAGCAGCGTGCTTTTCCCAATATGAGACCATGTATCAGCACTACTACTTCCAAGGCCTTAGTTACCCTGAGCAAGATGGACAGCCTCCAGCTGGCATTTCCTCAAAGGGTCCTTCCCGTGCCTTTCAGCCTGGTAGCAGCATGCTTTTCCCTCCTGTGGTACATGTAGTGCCCTCATCCCGCTTGGAGAGTGGCAGTACCTCCAGCTTTAGCTGCTATCATGGTCATCGTTCAGTGTGCAGTGGATATTTGGCTGACTGCCCTGGGAGTGACAGCAGCAGCAGCAGTTCTGGTCAGTGCCACTGCTCCTCTAGTGATTCCATGGTTGACTGCACTGAGGTCAGCAACCAAGGGGTTTATGGGAGCTGCTCTACCTTTCGCAGCTCTTTGAGCAGTGACTATGACCCATACGTTTACCGCAGTAAGAGCCCTTGCCGAGTGGGTGAGGTTGGTGGTGCAAACAGGGGTGCAATTGTTCTCTTGGAGGGCCCCCACCAGGACGAGCTTCCAGCTCATGGTCACAGTCTGGTGGGTGCTGACTGCCGGCCTGTGCCAGTTTCTTCCTCAGGGGACCAACTGTCTAATTGCAGCATGGATATGAACTATAGCAGTAATTCCTCACTAGAGCACAGGGATCCAAATGGCACTACCTCAGAGGGAGGACATGAGGCCACTCCTGGTGCTGCCTTGGATGTTAAAAGGAACTGGAAGAATCCAGAGATAGCAGGGCCACTTATGGAGCAAGCATGCGCATGCTGCTTTGAACTCCAGCACTCTGCCCTGGAGCCTAGCAATGGGACAGCTGACTGTAGTGCACTCTTCCTTAGCTCTCCGCTGTGGGGGACGTGTGGCCCAGGAATAGAACCACAGTCAGGGAACACCCCAGGCTTGTACAGTATTAACTCAGACCACTTGCATAGGACAGATGGGGTAAAATATGAGGGGTTGCCCTGCTGCTTCTATGAAGAGAAGCAGGTAGCCTGTAGTAGCATTTTTTAGCCTGTAGTAGCAACAGTGGCAGTGGAGGTGGTGGCTGCTATACAGAAGACTATGCAGTGAATGTGCAGTACACGCTTCCTGATGACACCTTGCCAAGCTGCTGTAAGGGTGTATGTGATCTGGGTCAACGCATTCCCATAATTCCTGAAGACAGAGACTGTGAGCTGATCCTACCTACAGAGTGCCAAGGGACCCACGCAGGAGGCTGTAGTTCCTGGGATGGAACACCTGAGCTAGATACTTACCTGCACTGCCAAGGTATAGGAGAGGTACAGGACGAGAGGGAGGTGTGCTATGAGGCAACATCATTCCTGCGGCAGAACTACTCTCAGGAGGAGGAAGCCAGAATGCTCTTTCCCAGTCCCACTCTGAACTCCCAGAAGCTGATGACAACCACAAAGGCCACAGGTAATACGTGTGCTTTTTCTGATTACTCGCTACCTTTCTGTCCTAGCGTATGAAATGCTGCCAGCTTCCTAGGTACCTGCAGCCCTAAAGGTTACTGCCATCCTTTGCATAAGAGCAGGTTATTGACGAATCCTTCGCCCGAAAGTGTTACTCTCTTGTTACCTGTGCTCATTTGGTCGTAGCTAGAGGAATAGAAGGTGATAGCTTACTATCTACCCATATAAAAGCTTTCATACCCATCCTTTGTGGGGAGGGGAAAAAGTGACTGCTAGTACCAGGCCCCCATTAGAGCCTCCGCAGCCAGGGACACTGTGCCAGTCATGGCAGCTGTGGCGAGCCGCCTAAGTAGGCAGGGCCAGAGTGCTGGGAGGGGACAGACAAGCTGAAGGTTAAAAAAAATGAGTGAAAGACTTGGAATTGCTGTAGAAGAATATGTGGGAAAGTCTCTGCTGTGGACATACACAAGCAGAAAAAAGAACCACTCGCAGAATGAAGGGGGTATTCCTTACCTGCCTTGCCAGGGCTGTTTTTAAGGGTGTTCATAGAATCATAGGATACCCTAGGTTGGAAGGGACCTCAGGCCGTCATCTAGTCCAACCCCCTGCTAAAAGCAGGGCCAGCTCTGAGATCAGACCAAGTTACGCAGTTTGTCAGGTTAGCCAAGTTTATCCAGTCAGGCCATGACAACCTCCAGGGACGCGGAGTGCACTCCCTTGTTCTCTGGGCCCTTGTTCCTGCGCTTGACTGCCAGCGTGGTGAAAAGATTTTCCTTATATCCAGTCTGAACGTCTCACGTTTCAACTTAAGCTCCTCGCCTCTTGTCCAAAAGGCATCACTGTGAAGACCCTGGCTCCACTGTTGTGACAACCTCCATGTAGGTATTGCAAAGCTGCTAGGGGGTGCCCCCGAAGCCTTCTC